TAAACCATAGGAGCTCTGGTAGCATAGTGCCTAAGGCACTTGACTGCTAATCAGAAGGCTGGCGGTTCAAACCCACCAGCCACTCCTCCGAAGGAAGATGGGGCAATCTACTTCCATAGAGATACTGCCTCGGAAACTCAAGGAGGGGTCGCTATGAGTCAGGGCCAACTCGACGGCACATAACAACAACAACAAAGCATAATTAGAATTGTGTTCTCAGACTGTTATCCTGAAGGTAGAGTGGCAAGCTACAGAAATGTTTGCTTTGAAAGTTATACTAAACAGTGAGACAAGTTTTTAAAAATACAACCTAGTAGAGCGGTAGTTTACAAAGACACTTATAAACTACTTTGAAAATTTCAGTAAATTAAAAACTTTACTTGAAATTATGTATATTTCTAGGGACCTTCTCACATTTCAATGCCTCACCAACCTCTGTTAATGCCTTGCCAGACTGTGACCAGAAGCTCCCCTCTTTCCCTCCTACCACATTCTCTAAAAGACTAAGGTGCTCCTTTGAAATGTACTTGGTTTTTGTATATAGGTGTAATACATGGATTTGTTTTCTTGTCCACTCCAAGAAGCAGTTTGCAATGCAAGTCTATACTTTGGGAGTTCAGCATTGGTTGAAACTCCAGCTCTGTCTTTTCTGGCTATATCATTTTGAGCAACTTATTTACATTTCCAAGTCTGTAGTTTCATTTTCTGTTGAATAGGGGTATCATTGCCTTACCATAGGAATTATTATAAGCTATGTGTGAATTTGAATATTCCTGGCATACAGGTGCTCAGTTTAGTTTCCTTTTATTCCTGAGGTTTAATTGAAGAAGGAAGGAATGAGAAGAGAAGAGAGGAGAACAAAAGAGAGATTGAGCTGGGATGGAACACATTCCATTTTCTTATAATGACCATAAGAAATTATCTTGGTCATTATTGTATCCTTAATGCCTGGTAAAATGTCTCTCACAGACAAGGTAGTTGGAGATTAATATGAATGAATAAGTGAATGATGAATGAACGAATCTTGTGAGGGCACTATGTGTGCTTCATGTAAGAGGGTAGAAATAAAGCTATGTTGTGTTCTACTCTTTAGCAGCCAAAGATATGCTTAATACAAAGATATGCTGCATATAGCAACTAGAAGCAGGGGTTTAGAAGCCAACAGCAAACAGTCAAGGAAAAAATAAATGGGAACCAAGGGAAGCTAAAGAGTTTGCCTTTGGAAGCGGTGCAGATGGCAGCTCTGGCTTCCCACCAACTTCCTATTTGCTGACCCCTTAGCGTTTTTCCCTACTCTCATCTCCCTCTTTGACCAAAATAAATTTTCTCACATCAAAGTTTTTGTGGTCAGAACGTATAGGTAGTTGTCTGAATTTGGGGAAATCTTCTTGAGGGATTTAAAAATGCAGTCACCCTGGGGAAGCTCCTGAATCTGTCCCTATTTGTGTGCTCACATTGCATGACTTGCTCCCTCTTAAGGCTTATTCAGGAATGGATAACACATGTGTAATGAGCCCACAGCCACAGTAAAGTGTTTATTCAATACC